TCCTAAATAGCTGGGATTACAGACCTGAGCCTCCAGAGGACATAACACTAATCCTTCTACACTCTAGCAGTCTCACTGTCCCAGTGGCTCTTGCTGAGAGGCTGCCAGGACCAGGCCTTCTGCATGACCAGCCCTCCAGCAGTAAGGGAAGGAGGGTGAGTTCCTGGACAGAGGAGGAACCTGCAAGAAGGAATGGATTTGACCTTTGTGTCCACATCCCCTTCTCCCTCCATGTCTCCTTCAGGCAGGGCCCCCTTCAACACTCAGGATCAATGGGGGTTTACTTTCGCTGAGCTCAGTGCACTACTCCCTCCCCCCTTCCTGTGGCTCTGAGCTGACTGGCCAGGGCAGCTTGGTCTAGGCTGGGGGCAGGACAGTGGCACACTGAGATAGGGGGTGGGGGAGACAAACTCCCTGGTTCACTCCAGTCCCTCTTATCTGCTGGGTGGCCTGATCCTCCTGGCCTTTCTGGGCTGTATAGGCTTTAAAAAGAAATACCCCACCTCCTCAGCCCTCCTCCTGCTCTCAGTGAGGTGCCTTCCCAGAGACAGTGGTGCAATCCTATTGCCCTGTGAATGCCCTCCACCTCATGAGCACCCTACGTGCCAGTCTTCATCTGAACAGTAAGGTAAATGTCACTTGTTTGTACAACCCCTGCTGGCCTGTGGCTTCATGTGTTGTTATGTTTAGCCCTCCTGAGCCCTCCTCTGTTCTGTGCCAGGTCTCCTTCTATCTGGACTCTCCAGCCTTGTATTCAAGGCCTCTGCCCCACTGGCCATGATTACTCGTCTTCCCCTGTGCTCTAGAACACCCTCCCCATCCCTTTCCCTACCTACTCACACACACTGCAGCCTAAGGCTCTACAGGACAAGTCTTCACTGAGCCTGAGGCCTCCTAACTGAACATCAGGTATGAACAATGTAAACTGGGGATGCTGAGCAAATGCAGGCACAGCAGCCTGAGGGAGGCCTGGCATTAAGCCAGACTCCCTGATGGTGCAGGCATTGTCCCCTCTGCAAGTCCTCCCCATTCCTGTCCCAAAGAGGGCTCCTTCTGCCAGAGCCCATGGCAACTTCTCTCTCCTCAGGCCTCCGGCAACTCTTGGGAGCTGAGAGAAAACTCAGGGGAAAGTCAGATGTAGCAACACACATTGATAATTCCAGCACTCGGGAAACCGAGGCAAGAGGACTGCCACAAATTTGAAATCACCTGGGCTACATATCAAGTTCCAGGCCAGCCTGAGCTGCACAGGAAGGAGAAAGAGGTAGGTGAGGGGCTGGAGAGATGGTTCAGCGATTAAGAACACTGGCTGCTCTTCCAGAGAACCCATGTTTCAGTTCCCAGTACCCACTACAACCTTCTGTAGCTCCAGTTCGAGGACATCCTACGCCCTCTTCTGGCCTCCACAGGCATTGCATGGCATGGGTGAATTTACATATAAAAAATAAAAATAATAAACATTAAAAAAAAAAGGCAGTTGGGGGAGCCTGGAGCCCCTCGCCTCAACTTCATGATTTTGTCTGTGAAAAGGACTCCTGGTGTTGACAGTCTGAAAACTGCTGACTGACACCACCTCTCCCACTCAAGCTAGGAATCTGACTGAACTTTTGAATGAATGACCTGAGGTCAGAACAGGAGTCAATACCAGGGTTAAACCTGGCTCTAAGGAACAAGGTCCCAGCCACTTCCAGATCTCAATCCTTTCAAAATTAGGTGTCCCATCCCTGACAGTAACAAGTGCTAGAGACTCACAATTAACATTTATAATTCCTCCTTTCCCGCACCCAGGGTGCCCAGTAGGCAAGCGCCAGCTAGAGGCAAAGCACAGGGCTGTGTGTCCTAGGTGAGTCTTTTCACTTCTCTGAGTCTGTTTCTCACAAAGCACAGGACTGCTCTTTGTCCATAAAGGACAAGACCTGGCCATGGCTAGTGCTCAGCAAATGGGAGCACTCACCCTCCCTGATCTTCCTCTCAATCAATACCTGCTTCATTGATGGATGATGGGGACAATGATGGATTACAGCAGTTTGGAGAGTTGGCCTGTTCTTATCCAGCCCTGGAAAGGGAAACTCGAGCAGGTGGGACAGGGTATGAGTTGGGCAGAGCAGGGAAGCCTGGATAGGGATGCCAAAGAGCTGGGGGGCCAGGGGTGGTGATGAGGAAGCAGTGGTGGGTGGGTGGTTATCAATGGGGGCAACTAGAGGATGAGGTGTGGGAAGCCACAGCATGCCCCGCCTCCCTCCAGCAGAGTGGCAAGTCAGTCCTGGGAGCCCAACAGCTGTTTGCTTAGAAAAGCGTCTTAGTCACTAAAGGCTGCAGTGGGAAAAGTCTGTCCTCTCAGTCATGTCCCGAGAATCCGGATGGGCACAGGAAGGCTGTTGGGTAACACTCAGAGTGGCCACCTGTCCCCTCTGGACTTCCTCCTCTGCCTCTTCCATTCTCCCAAACAGACACACAGACACACACCACAGCAGTTTTTCCAGGGCCTCTTATTGCCATCTCCCCCATTCCTCCCACTCTGTAGTAAGAATTCTGTCGCTCACTTTCACTATCAGTGGACGGGCCCCTTTCTGCTATGTGCACCTGCAGAGAAATGGCCCTCGACCTCTGGAGCTACTTCCTGAAATCTTAACTTCCATCCCTCTAGTTGGGACTAGTCTCTTTCCTCCTCCTCCGTGTTTTTTTTTTTTTTTTTTTTTTTTTTTGAGGGGAGGGGGCCAGATCTGAAGCTGGAGTTGGATAAGGTGAAAGACCTCTTCTGGGAGAGTTGTACTCAAGGAGGGAAAGGAACCTTTGCAGTCCCCCACATGGGAAGAGAGGCACAGGGTTCAGAGGTGATGCTAAGCTAGAGGATCAGATTTCCCAGAACAGACCCAATTTTAGATATTCTGGGTACTGATAAGGGCAACCTGAATTCAAGTTTCATTTCTCCCACAGATGAACAGCCTCAAAAAGATCCCAGCAGCCGCTTTCCTTTGTACAGTGGAATCCCAGACCTAAGTCCCACCCCTAGGTCCCTGATGGAGTTAGTTACAGTCACGGGAGGCAGTGCCATACATGGGGGGGGGGACACATATACTGGCTTCATTTATAGAGAGAGGATGGCTCCATCCAGTTGGGGCATTACATCTGTAGGGGGTCCCTCGGGTCTAGAACCCTCTCATTGTCAGTAATCAGGACATACCTGGCTAGGGGCACAAGGCCCTGACACTGGCACCCCTGGAGCCAGCAGCAATAGGAGAGATTCAGGTCAGATCTCAGAATGCATCCCAGCTGGACAGGAGGGGAAAGGATCACTAGGAGCTTGGGGTACTACTGCTGGCTGCCAAGCCCGGCTCATGGACCTCACGGCCCTGCACGCCCGCCCACAGGCCTCCTATCACCCTCCCCCACTGGCGCTCAGCAGATCAATGCTGCCTTTGCTGACAGCTGAGAATCGAGCTCTCTTGCCCGCCCCCTCCCCCGTCCCCCCTACCCCTCCCGCTAGCTGTGTCCCCCGAGATCCTCCACGAGGACCTGGAAGAGTTTGCTGCGGAAGCGCTTCACCCTGGGGCTGGGCCTGAGGAGGGAAAAGCTGGTGCGGCGACCGCTTTAGGCTGGGAAAGGGGAAGGAGGACCCCCAAACCCGAATCACTAAGGAGCGCAGGGGTGGGAGGGCGAACAGAAAAGGGACAGCTAGAGATGGGGGTCAGGCTCTAAGAAGAACTTTCGCTTGGAGGGGGATGCTGGAAGGAAAGTCTAGGTGGGACACTATGGGCCTTTGGGAGGGGACTGTTAGGCCACCTAACACTGGCTCAGCTCTTACCTCCCGACGTCCCATCTGCACTAAACCTGGTTTCTCGGGAGTGGGAGAAGGATAATTCCCAAGAAGGCCCGGGGAGGGGCGCAGGCCTATGGATCAAAGGAGTTCCCCCCTTCTGCACAGGGTGGTTAGGTGGGGCTTTCTCCCCTATCACCAAGAAGGGACAATCCAAGGAGGAAATGCGCACTCGGGGCCTGCGGTGCTACACCGCCCCATACATCTCCGTGGCCCTGGGACACCAGGTCCTTCAAGTAGCTGCGAGAGCAGACGCAGGGGCTGTCCCAGCCTCAATCAGCACCCGGCGCTCCGGGCACGACCCGACGGGCACACCTCCTCACTTATACCGCCCGGACTCTGCACACCCATCTTCACTCACATCCATCCACACCACACCAAACTCACGTAGACCCACGGCCGCCCATCCAGAGAGCACAAGTACACACTTCGCCCACACACACCTCAACTCCACGGGACACAGTGTCCCGCGCACGACCGCGGCCACATCTCCACACTCCTCGCCCCACTTTCCACAACCACACACGAGGCATCCCAACACCCCCACCCCAGGCCGCTCAGCTGCCCACAGCCGTGCCCACCCCCGCACACGCCCAGCTGCTGGCCCCACGCGCTGCCGACGCCACGCGCTCAGGGCCGGGGTACACCGACTGGGCTGCACGCGCGCTGCCCTCCGCGCGTCCCCTCCCCGCGCTCGCTTCCTCGCTCCCTCCCGATTTGGGAAGACGGCCGCGGGGCGGGCGGGGGAGGGCCGGGGC